TCCTCTTGACAGCTCTTTTTGTCCTCTCCGATGGACCAAGACGACCCGGATACTGTTCAGTTGTTTCCTTGCCGTGTTTCCTGAACTGCATGATGATTCTGTTGATTGTCGAAAGCGGGATTCCCAAATTCTGCGAAATTTGCTGCTGACTTATTCCACCATCTGGTTGACCAACTATCTTTCCTCTAACAAAATCTGACAATTCAAGAGAGCCTTGAGTTCTATGCATGTTGTAGCACAAGATAGTTAGTGTGCGGACCATTTTCATTTATATAGTGCTCTGTGAACACAAATTAATTAGCATAAATCAGTTAAATGACGAAAAATTAGGTGTCTGTTTACTTGTGACCACTCAGTGTATGTGTCATGTTTGTCACCTTAATGGAAAAAGAACATCAGAATTTAGCATTTAAATGGTTTGTATAAAACTTTTACCTTATTTTTTTACACTAGAAAGTTTTTCTTTGTAAAAGAATAGTAGGAAAATATCTCTGTTACCCATGAACACCTTATTCAATTTTTATTTCAAAAGTGTCAGTGCTGCTGTGAAGAAGAATTTACTGGCAAGCATGTCGGGTTCAGCACCTGCTAGCCCACGCACAGAAACATCTGCTACTCCACATGGGTAAGTGAAAACTTTTGTTTATTATTTTATATAACTGTTTAAAGATAATTACTCTTTTGAAGATTACTGATGAAAAGAACCAAGACAGCTTTTTTGGATGAGTAATAATAAGATAAGTCATGATGTTTTTATAAGAAAAAATCAGAATTAAAACCTCTGTTACTGGCACCCTATATCAATAAAAAAAAATTGAGGGACTGATAAAATAATTATACTTTTACCTCAAAAGGACACTTCTCATTTTGGGGTCATGGGTGCACTATAAAGAGTGGCAGTTGACTCCCACTACTTTTTCAGACAAGAGTTGGTGGTGGATGCTGCTCACTAGCTGCCTTATAAAGTCTTTCAGTTAGAGACAGCTAAGCACAGATAGCTTTGTGTAGGTTTGCATGAAAAATCTGAACCAAACAATTAGTTATTGTTATGTTACTGTTCTTTTTGTAAGTCAGTTTGACATTTATTTTGTGGGATCAGAGTAAGTTATTAATATAGACTGATCGTAAATAAGCCTGTAAATATAACTACTAGTCAAAGTTTTTAGCTTTGTCAGTTTCCAAAATATTAAGTTGTTTTTTAGTACAAAATAAGTCAAATAAACATTCTTGGTAATAGTTTTCTTTGTTCACAAAAAATCCTGCCAGTGGTGTTTAACACTAAAATTTAGAACTCAGTCCCTGCAAATGGTACAGCACAGACAGCTTTTTGTGAAGCTTTGTGCTTAACAGCAACACAACAAAAAAATAACATTTATAGGGTTAACAAGTTTTAAAAATGTATTGTATGATAAATATTAAAATTACCTGTAGTATTGTTATAACAATATGCTAAAGCTAAAAATTTTCAGGTTATAAGAAACTCAAAAAGCTTATCCAATTTTGCAGTCTTAGAGCAATATATATTGTTCTTAATTTGACAAACAATAACAGTATGTTCAATTAAGATACTTGTAGTTTTATTTTTAATTAGGAAAGTGTGTGAAAAAAACAAAATTCCAAGACAATACTCACCTCTTTACACAGAATAGCTATATTGCTCATACATCTGCTTATGAGATTTGCATGCCACTAGCTTTGAGCCAACTCCCACCTAAAATTGATGTGTTTTTATGTGAATTGTGATGATGCATGATGATGTCATAATGCAACAAAAGCCCTCTACCAATAGGAAGGCATCACAACCTCCATTGCACAGAAGTTCCCCTTAAGCACTTGCATTCAAAATAACTTAATTCTTTTCCTTCACATTGCCTGGTACAGACATGATGATTTTTCAATCTACGTTCAATTGACTGAGATTTGCATTTGTACAAAGGAACTTAGTTTTCATTTTACCTTAGCTTTTGTTTCAAGTGATAGTGACTTCAACTTTGTCCTGTGAAGGTGACAAAGTTACAAACACAGGACCTGTTTCAAATGTGGCTTCTTGAGGCTCGTTTACTATTGAGGATATTACAGCTATCTTGCAGCTTGTTGCGTGCCTCCTCCTCCCATCCCTATAATGACCAGCAGGATGACAAATTTGACTGATACCCCCCCCTCGGGGGTTTTATTTTGGTACTACCGTACTGGTCAAGGTAAATCCACACTCTTCCAATCTCATTCTGGATATGACTTCTCAGGTATGTTCTTTTCTTTCTCTTTAGCCTATATCCTTTGATTCTTCTCATTCTTTACTCCATGAAACCAATTCTTAGAATTACATTGTCTTTCCTCCTTCATCCAATAATAGAGTTCACCTATCACCACATGCCTTGCCCTACTCATCTTCTTGACTCTTTTGTCATGGCTTGCAGACATTATTCCTTTCCTTTTCTGGATACCCAGTCTTTGGAATCTCATTTACCTGCTTGGAGAGTGAACCTCTTATCTTCTGTTTTACTCTTTAGTGCCCAGTTTTCAAATCTTTGTCTTTTTCTCACCACCCTCCTGCATGACCTCTCCTTCCTCCACCTTATGTCTGAGGCATTTCATCATGTCCCAGAGGGATTTTCTGGAGAAGTTCGTTCCCTTCTCTTCTCTACCTTGGTCCATACCACCTCTTCAGCTTTGTCCTTCCTAACTTGATTCCTCTGCTTTTGGGACTTGTTGGGTCAGGATGCTTTTCTCTCCAATGTCCACTTCCCTACTGCTTAGTTTTGTGATCTTCATCAGGCTCTTTTTCTTCACCCAGGAAGTCTTTGGTGGTGTTCCTGATTCACTGAAAACTCTGGCTGAAGCAGCCTGGTATCAGGCCTCGTTATTTTTTTGCATTTCTCGTCTTTTTTCAACCTCGCCCCTTTGACTCCTGTTCGTTAACTGGATCAACCTCCCCCATACCCATTTCAACTTCCAGGCCCTCCTTTTCTTCTTGTGTTCCCATTTCCTAACACAAAGTCCATCGGTAACTATCCTGTTGGGTCAAATCTTTCTGTCCAGTTTCCTTTTCTCCTCCCTTTGACCCCATCTATCTTCAGTGTCTCAAGGATGCGGTCTCAAATCTTTTGACAAAACATGCAATCAAGTGGGTTTATGTCTCAATTTCACATGGATAATTGATTTTTAGTTGTCCCTCTTTTGTAGGAGGCTACTTGATTGGGATGACTTATCATTTCTTTCTCACATCAGCACAGTATTTAGTGCATCTCGTTGTTTTCTTCAACTCTTGTCTCAATCAGGCTCAACCTTGATCATTGCGGCTCTTTCATATTTTGTTGCATCAGATTCATCACCTGTTTCATTCTCTTGCTTCTCATTTTTGCTGGACCTTGGATGAGATCCTTCAGGTGGGCATGTGGACAACTCCCCACATTTTTATCACTCATTATCTTCATAATGTGACTGTTTCATTTCCTCCTGGTCACCATTCTTCAATCAACCCACCATCTTTGAGATGGGTAAATATATGTTATTTTTCTCTCTCTTTCTGTGTAACTGGATATCACCGGGTAGCTGGTGTTGCCTCCCATTGTGTGCCTTTTCCCAAAATCTTTATTGGGCCAGGGGTAACAGAAAGCACTGTAGAGATGGGGTTGTTGTGTAAAAGAACTAGAGATACCTTTGAAGCATACAAATTTACTCATTTGCCTGATCCAGGCAGTACCATTCCATGGACTATCATGGAAAAATACGGCACCAAAGAAGTGAATACCCACTTCTTTAGTTTGCACATGCTAGCTTTTAAAAATATGGTTTTGCAGTCACCTGTCTCACTGTCTCCAGTAAAAATCTTGGCAGGTGTCTGGGCATTTATCCTGGTCTTTCCAACTTGAACCCCCCAACCCCCATCTTCAAGTGGAGCCCAGAAGACCTTTTCCACTTTCTAGTTCCTAGCTTCTGGGGTGATGGATATTTGAGAGTTGCTCACTAATTGGGCTAGCACAATACAGTGAGAAGTAGGGTGGTGGTGTAACACTATCAGTGAAGTGCAGATCACCTCTCAAATAGCTGGTGTGCCCTCCTCCTACAGTGTAGTTTGAGTGTCCACTTGAGTCAAGGTACCATACACTCTGATTGCATCTTAACCATACTTATTGGCTTGCCGACCTCTTGTGTGCAAGTGCTCAGATGTTCATGTTCTTATTCTGCCAATCTTTGCCATACTTAGGGCTTATTGGCCTCCCCTCCCTTTGCAGTCTTGGCAAAGAGTATACACCGGTTGAGATGAGATGTAGTTTCCCATGGGTGTGCCCTTATGAAATCCTACCATTAAGTGCTACACTCTATGGACTTTCCCTTAGGGTGCTTTCTGAAGAGAACTCATCTAGGTTTAAATTTGCACTGGCCCCTCCTCTAGTTTAATGTGGGATTCTAGCTGTTCTGTGTGAGGAGGTGAGGTATTGTCTTGGAAGTTAACATTTAACTAGTCTGAAAATGTATTTCCAATAGATACTCCCATCTTCACACATTTCCACATGACCTCCCCCACTTCCCCTGCACTTTCTTCTTGCCTCGTCTGAAGTTGAAGTTATTTCAAGTGCAAGCGCTTAAGGGGAGCTACTGTGCATGGAGGTTGTGTCACCCTCCTATCTGTGGAGGGCTTTTTGCAAGATGACATCATCATGCACCAGTGCAGTGCACATTAAACACGTGAATTTTAGATGCGAGTTAGCTCAAGGCTAGTGACATGAAAATATCTAAGACAGATGTGCAAGAGATGAAGCTATTCTGTGTACAGAGGTATCTGTTGGAAATACATTTTCAGATTAGGAAAATATTAACTTTTCTAAGACTGTAGAAACAGAAATGGTGAAAATACACTTGTTTATTTTTAACTTTAGACATTTTTCTTGTTCTTTATTGTATTTTTTATCATGTATTAATGTAGTCTTAATAATCATATTAGGGGATGAAGTTATGTAAACATTATAAATGTTAATGAAACGACTTGTTGATCTTGTCAACTGCATGCATGAAAAATAGTTTCCTTTTTGAGTAATGAACCTTTAAATAATTTTAGGGGATGAAGTTATGTAAGCATTATAAATGTTACTGAAAAAAATTCTTGATCTTGTCAACTGCATGCATGAAAAAATATTTTCCGTTTTGAGTAATGAATCTTTAAATAATTTTACAAAGTATTCAGGTAGCAAGGTGTTAAAATGCATTAATTTTTTGTTTGTTTTTTCATGTCAGAGAATCTAAATTATAATGTAAACATAAATATTAAAAGAGAGAGCCTTAACAAACTCTGTTCACTATAAGGCATCTATTTAATGAGACAGGTATGGTCTAGTGGTTAGCCTACCAGACTGAATCTAGAGAACCATGCTTTGCATTCCGTTTCCACAAACAATGCTCCACAATGTGGGATTTTGGATGCCTTATAAGCATGACAGTCAGATGCCACTATTTGATTAGTGTAGCCCGAGAGTTTGGCAGTGGTTGTTATTTGACTATCTTCTTTCCTGTAGTCTATCATTTCAAAATTATGGATGGCTAGCACAGATAACTGTTATGTAGTTTTTTGTGAATATTCAAATCAAGCATATATTTATAATTTTCTGTTAGGTGTGAATTGGGAAAAGAATCCTCTATTCATGGACAGACCAAGAACACTGACTATACAGAAGGAATTAAGAAACAAATTTCATCAGTTGGAGTTGTTGTGAAACAAGAACTGCAGCAAAACTCAGAAAATGGTAAATTTTATAACTATGTTCAGATGGAAGCCTGAAGGCTAATAAATTTATTGTACAAGGAGTGTTATAGCCCATGAAAAGTTAAATTACAGAGTAAATGGTATAAATTAAGAAATTGGTTTTAAGATATATAAAACAGTATATTTTATGTTTATATTTTTTTAGAAGGTGGTAAACCATGGTTAGAAATAAAAGATAATGTATTACAACTGCCAAAAAAGTTTGAAATGTAGCTGTTTAAAGTATTTATATATAATTTATTACCTTGAATAAATTGGAAGTCTTTCTCTCGGAGTTATCCAGACATGTAACTGAGCAGTAGTGTGAATATTGTACATTTCTCTTTATATCTTTCTCAGTTGCAGTGAATTTACTCTTGTTTCTAAAACAATGATATTAAACATTTCCATAATGTAATCATGGATATTACAGTGAATGCGATTATTCAGGTTTCCATTTAGTAAGGTTATGACTAAATTTTCCAATTTACATGTGTTGAAAATGCATTCATGCAAGTAAAAATAAGAAATGAATAGTGTGTAACAACTTAGTTTGATAAATATAGAATTATTGATAAAATATCTTGGTTTCTTTAGTGCAAAATAGTTTTTCTGTAAAATGTTATGAAAGCTGGCATGATTTTGTATAAATTTTGAAAAGTTATTTCAAAGTGAACTTTTAATTTATTTCAAAGATAAAGCTTGACTTGCAACACAATTTTTTTTTACAAAAAAACATAATATTTTCCCAGTCTGTTGACTAAAACCATCAGCTTTAGTTACATAAGAAAGTGTTGGGGAATACTATAGAAAAAAAATATTAAGTTCCTTAGTATTTAGCTACTCTAATGAAATAGTCTGTATTAAACATTTATGTGGATTATCTTGTCTTTCAATATGTCTAACAAAATTTAATTCTGTACTTTTTAGTATTTTTTTTTATTTTAGCTGATTTCATCTTACAATCATCTCTACCAATGCTACACATTCATTATCTCTTATTTTGCTTTAATAATTTTGAATCTATTCCACAACAAAAAAATATTTTTTTCATTTTTTGATGTTGATTTTTTTAATAAAATGATAGTGTACATAAATATATAGTCAGTCCTTTATCGTGGATTGTAGGTGGTTGGGTGCTGCTGACTGGCTGCCTTCCGTTTGGCCAGTAGCTCAAAATTAGTAATGGTGTAAGATACCTTAGGCTTAACTTTCCATATATGGGCTTGGTCATTTTGACCATCCTTGCAATCACCATGTAACCATGAAACTATACACACTAACTTTTAATGAGGTAAATGTATCTTCATGAAATTGGACAAGTTTTTAGTAAAAACTTCAAGTGTGTTGTGCACAAAAAATCATATTTTTAGTGAAGTATTTATACAAGAGATTTGTGTGACAATTTATGGAGTTGGAGTCTGGCTCAGATTCTGACGAGTCTGAGTGGAAAATATTTTTTCATGTAAAGATTTTTTTTCATATTAGAGTTGTCAAATTTTATTTGCATAGTCTCTAGAACCATTTAAGTGAATATCAAAAGTTTTTTTTTCAGTATAACTTTTCTTTGCTATTTTTTCCTACCCTCATGTGGTTTATGGGCTCAGTCCAATTGACCAACCTTGTAACAACCACAAAATAAGAAATCTAGATTACCCATTTTTTCTTTCTATAATGCTTTCACATTGTTACAGACAACCACACGCTATTCTTACAGCCACATGGCCAGGTGGATAAGATGCTCAACTCGCAATCTGAGGGTCATGGGTTCGAATCCCCGTCCCACCAAACATGCTCGCCCTTTCAGCCGTGGGAGCGTTATAATGTGACGGTCAATCCTGCTATTCGTTGGTAAAAGAGTAGCCCAAGAGTTGGCGGTGGATGGTGATGACTAGCTGTCTTCCCTCTAGTCTTAAACTGCTAAATTAGGGACGGCTAGCACAGATAGCCCTCATGTAGCTTTGGGCGAAATTCAAAAAACAGAAAACAAAAATCTTACAGCCAAATCTTATACAAACCTAATCTCCCAGTCTTTAGACTACCTGCTTTACTGCCACTTAAATTAGTGCCAAAACAAATTATCACAGCAGGGGAGCTTTGTATAAATGCATAATTGAGTTTCCAGCATGCTTGGTCAAATTTCAAATTGCTGTGCTCGTACTGTCTGGTATTTTCTTAATTTATTTTTCTTATCCAATAAGTTTCTAATTTTAAATTTTAATTATTTTTATAACAACAGATAAAAATAAAACTTAGTACTTGCATGTGGGTCTAGTACGTTTTTGTTCTTTAAGTCTTAATGACTGTGAACCCTTTTTTCTGGTAGGGGTTGTTAGTAGTTAATTTTCGTTTATTTTAAACATGCAATTTAGGACACAGCAAAAAAACAATATCCTAAAACTATTATAATTTAACTGGCTTTCTAACTAACTAATATGTACATTATAATAATTTCCTTACCTGATTGAGACATTCTTGGCAAAAGTTATTTAATATTAAAATTTGAATTATATGCTATGTTTTGATATCAAGTTTGCTGATATATTGTTAATAAAGTAATTTAATTAAATTCTGAATGTGACTCTGTAAAAATGTTGTGACATGCACTTTGACCCACCAGTATACATAGGGTTAACAGTTTTGCCATAAATACAAATACATAAATATAACCAGACCATAATGACTAAGTTATTTAGTTATTTAAAACAAATTGTTAATTCCCTGAAAAATCAAAAGCTGTTGATATAAATGTAAACTAAAATAATTGCAATTAGATATTTTTCTTATAATAATGCAACATGAAAAAACTTCTAGTAAACACATTTTGAGTTATTTTTAGTATAAAATTAACTGAGTATACTGTTGTTGTAGCATGGAATGCTGCTCCTCCTTCTGTGACACCGGAAGTATCACCAAGGAAAAAACCCAGAAAACAACAGTTGTGAGTAGTTGCTCTTAAATTTCAGCCAAAATTATTAGCAAAATAACTGTGTTAATAGATTTTCAAGAATGAGACAATGTATGACATTTCTTTTACATCACCTGTGAATTAAGTTAAAACTTACTGTGTGAATGTAGTCAAGTTGCAACTGCGAAATATAATTCTGAGCAAAAGTTTTGAGTTAATAGTAAAATACAGAAGAGATTTAAGTCATCATTGTGTGAAACAACATATTAAAAAAAAGTTTCAAACAAAATAAGAAATATTATAGAATGTCTAAGTGAAAATTGTTTCCATTAAATAATATTATTCCATTCTAATGTTTCTGTTATTCATGTTCAAGAATCCTCCAAAATAACTAATGCCAGTATCTCATCCTCCTAACCATGACTATTTATTTGCTAACATTAAAAAAATAAAGGATTTACTGCTTTCATTTATCTTATATAAGTTACAATTCATTATCTTAAATATTAAATACAAAATGTAGTCATTGCCATTAAGTGGAATTTGAAGTTTTCAGATTTTTGTTTTAATAGATTACTGCAATATTTATTTGAAACTTAAATATAAATTACTAATGATAACATTTAGTGCTGGGTTTATTAAAATAAAAGTTAAATTTTTTGCTAATTGGCATAAATGTTTGTTGTTATTTTTTCATAAAATCGAAAACTTAGTACTCTTTCACTAAGAAGAGTGAAAACAAAAACTGTTGGGGATTTTCTAACTTTCCTACTACTTCATGTGTAAATGCTTTCTTTATCCTACAGTTATGTTAAGCTTTATATGAAACATATTAATGCATATTGCCTATCAAAACTCTTACCAATCCAACTGAAGACTGCAGTTTTGGTCCAATATCAGGTTTATTCAGTCTGTTGTTTCATGTTTAAGCTGATACAGCCACCGAGTAGGAAATCTGGAAAGCTAGACATCATCAAAATGTTTTGGATTGAATAAGTAGAATGGTTTGTTTCTGAATTAAAATAACTAAAGACTAATGTGAATAACATAATTTAACGTTCTTCATTGTTACCTTAGGTTTGTTCATAAAAGCTGTAGTTTTCGTATTACAATTTGTATTAAGTATGGTATAATCAAATTGATGTGTTTTTAAATTTCAGAGCTGCCAATGAACTGATTGGACCACATTCTAGTGATGGGGAAGAAGAACTGGACAAAAATATCAATGAAAATAACAAAAAAGAAGACACTGACAGGGGTACATTTTATTTTCTTGATTTATTCAATGAACTATCTTCTCTATAAAAACATACATTGTAAAAATACAATGTTTGCAAATTATTTAATTACTATGCTTATGCATTTGATTATTTAAGACTCTTTTCACAGTATTTTGGCTTAAATGTCATTCGTTGTTGGGTTATAACCACTTCTAAGATGTTTAAATCATCACTAAGGGTTACCTAAAAGATGTGTTCTCTTAAGGTTAATCATGTATTTATTCCTTGACTCCCCAAACCATTCTAAGTATGATGACTTAAACTGTTACAAGCAGTTTATAACTTACCATGGTCTCATTATCTTGAACTTTTTATATGTTCTACACGCTGAATCCAAAAATGATATCCATTTTTCTCCATCACATACAGATTTTTCACAAAGCATCATAACGCAATATATAAAAAAAAAGACCACAACATGTTGTTTTGAGACTAAAAAAAAATCAGAATCAATGAGGATGCATATTCGGTTGACATCAATGTTCCTCTCTTTTCTTCTTAACAAACATAATAATAAAAGATGTTCATTGTGAAAAAACGAAATAATAATTTGATCTAAGTAACAATTATTTTTTTTTCTTCCCAATTTGTAAGAAATACGTGATAGAAAAAAATTAATATTATTCTCGAAATCTGTGTAGATAAATTATGGAAAATCTTTTATTAAAAATAAAACAACTTTCATGAAGTTTAATTTCACAGACCTGTGTTATTTTATCTAAAATAGTGGATATGCCATCAGTATTTAAAAAATTATAATCGTTATCGGAAGTAGATATTGCTAAAAATCCTTGAACATGTTTGTCTCATGAAAATGTACTGAAATTCTTCCTAGATGTTTTAAAAAGTTTAAGAATGAAAAAACAAGATGGTTACAAGTAATCCTTTAATATTGAAATGTGTTTCCGTAGCCATCTATAAATGTAGTCTCTACTACTTTGGATAAAACTGAAAAGTGTGTTAGATACAGATAGGCTCTTTTACAGTCATCACATTTTATCACATGTAGTCTAAGAGTATTTTTTGTTATGAATTAATATTTTATATCATGGTGTTCTATAGAGTGTGTATTAAGATTTTTATATGTAAATATAACTTTAGCACAATTTTAATTTTCATGTGACTAAAAAACACCACACTTTGATAATAAATGCTTGTTTAAAACATTCATCTTCTAGAAGAACCAGTTAAGTGGGTGACATTTTGTAAAAGGCCTAGTATGTCATTACTTGGCACTTACCGCCATACTTGGAAATCTCGCCACAATCACTTTCAGAGATACAGTGATGTCAAACCTAAAGGTGGGTATACTTTAAATTTGAGTATTTTGAAAAAAATTCACTTCGAAACTTAAAAGAAAAGTTATTTCTTTGTTTTATGTTATACAAAATCATATATGTAAACTGTAGAAAAATATTTTCTAATATTACGTTTTAAGTAATTTTTATTATATTTTACAACTTTTTTCTTAGTTGTCTGTTTCAACCCTGAAACTTGTGTATGTTTTTAGCTTTTTATGTAATCTTTAAATAAGTTGTTAGCCAAATTAGCATCTTTGAAGGTATAACAGCGTAGCAAGGATTTTGCATCAGTATTAACTGGTTATAGATACATCATTGTGTTACTCAATTTTTCAGTTCTCCAACCAGCAATAATGCTACAAAGCTTTATTTATGTTTGCAGTGGAAAATGTAAATAATAGATAAGTGTGATATAATAAGAATGCTTGACTGTAGTTCAAAATAAGCTCCTGTGGAACTATTCTTTAGGTGTATTTGAAAAACCAAACAAAGTTCACAAGTTTCTGGTACCTCTGATATTGTAACAGAGACATGGTTGGCACTAATATAGTCATGATGGGTTGGTCATTCTCTACCTGACATGAAGTGCTATTTAGCACCTGAAGCTTTCAAAATACTGTTTTCATATTTCTGAACAAAAACAACAATTATGTTAGAATTTTTTTGTTTCAAATTTTTTATATTCATTTATTTCATAGAGTATTCTGCTTGTGGTACAATATTTAATACCAGAGAATAGTAGAAATTAGTTCATCACTAATTTATTTTTAATACTATTGTAGAATGATAATCTGCAATGAAATGATACTTTCCCCTTATCTACCTAACCTCTCCTCATGGCTTTCTTTAAATTACCAATGACATTACTGTGTACCAGGTTTTCCTTATGTTCATGTAGAATGTGCTAAATAGACTGTAAGGGAATAGATGTTTCAGCACATTTTTGTTTGTGTGTGTGTTAATATATATGCTAGTATGCCTTCTGATATTAAATTATCTTTATTTTTTTACAAAAAAAGAAAGGAAAGCAGTTTTCATTCATACTGCTGTGTACCATGTAAACACAACCTGTTGGGATTTGTTACTTACTCGTTTTGTAAACTTACTCTTGGCTTGTGTAAAAACTATGATACATATATAATAAAATGATTTTCAATATTTGTATTAGCAAGTCACTTGACAACCATAGCTGATGTAAAGTTTTGATGAACAAAATGTATGAGAACTGTATTTTGATGTTTGTAGATAGTACAGTACTACCAAAAATGTGTTATTTTCGGGAAGAGCGTTTAACAGCCCTTATGTGATGCAAAATATCTATACACTCAGATGATAATGATGTGTTCAAATTAAGGATTCAATATCTCCAAGATTAAGATCTCCCTTTTACTTAGCAGCATTGGAATACAAAATAACATGGATCATCTTGGAGCACTAGTCGTGCCCCAGCTGTGGTATGTAAAGTGTAGCAACATCTAACAGGTGAGAATCCAAGAACAAAAAGGTCAATGGCAAAAGCCATCCACAGGCAATAGTGTACAGCATAGTCAAAAAGAATCTATATCTTGAAAAATGAATCAAGTCATGTGTACACAACACATCCATTAAACTGTTGTGTACCTAAAGCAGCTTGGGAAATATGCAAGTGTTCATGTTATATCAAACAAAGACATACTGGTCAAGGCTCCAAATGCAGTACCTATGGATTTCTGTGCAACTGACCAGTTTAAGTGGGCTTTGGGGAACCATCATCCTCATACAATAAGTGGATTTTGGAAAGCAGCAAAGAATAGTGGTGTTCTTTTGACACAGTAGCCTTACTTGGAGCCTTTTGAAATGGAAACTCTGCTGCAAATCTATTGTCAAGATGCTCAGCTATCAGACAGAACATGACTGGATGTAGCAACATGAACTGTAATGACACGTGTTGAGGTTCCATAATTGTTTTCTTGTAACATACTCAATCTTTGTAAAGCTCAGAAAGTATCACGTTTTCTCTGATGATCAAAATCTGAAGTTTTCATTAATTTTCAAAACAAATATTTTTGGCTTCCATTTGTGAAAAGTTATAATTCTAATAATTTAGTATATTCAATTAATCAGTTTTATTGTTCCCCCTGAAGGTATATTTTATTAATCAAGTTTCTTTGACATGGGTGTAAATTCTTTTTCAACAGTTTTCAAGAAGGGTAAATCTAATAGTTTTTATATATATATATATAATTTAACCCTACGGGCAGAGATCAGAGTGCATGTCATGACTTCTACAGACTTAAATTCAAAATTTAGTTAAAGAAATTTATTATCAATGTATGCCAATAAACTTGACATCAAAATGTAGTTTATAATTCAACTTTTGATATCATACAAGTGTTGATTTCTTAAATTAAAAAATGAATATTTAGATAAGTTCTTAATCTTCACTTGTATGTGTCACTTGAAGCCTCTCTGCTCTGAATTCTCCACTTTCAATTTTCTTTCTTCCCTAGTATCAGTTTCCAAATGTACACCATTTAGATGCACCAGCTACAGATATTGACGGGCCAGAACTTAAAATAAGAATCTCTCACCTTCTTTATTTTTGGAGATATTAATAATTTTGTTACACCAATCAGAGAAGTTTCTCCAAACTCATGCTTATGAAGTTACATATTTACTTGTACTCTTTGATGGTACATGTTTAAAACCATTTTGTAAACTATGTGATTATGACATCTTTATCTTAATTTACTTTGGTAAAATGGCACCATTTCTCAAACAGATGTCATTGAGTGAAGATCTAAATCAGTGCTCCAGTGAGTAATGCAATATATTAAACCTTTTCTTAGGTCAGTTAGAAACTCTGATAAAGTTTAGTATTTTGGGGCATTCTGTTTCACTCTTCGAAATATTGTTTTTGTTTTAAATTGCATATTTGAAAGCTACATGAATAATTTTTTGGACAACCAATAAAAGATTTCAATCCTGAAGTAAGTGTTGAATTTCTTATTTTTTATGTATACTTTTTATTTAGTGATATATGTTTGTTAAGTAACTAAAATGTAAAAATAAAAACCTTTTGCTTTGAGGAAATTGCAAGGAAGATACTTAACTAGACGTCATATTATGTAACCCAAAAGTTTGTTTATCCTAAACTCTCCACACTCCCACTGGGTAATTTATTGCTATTTGTGGTAGTCAGGTGCCATTCAAAGAGCAATGAAACATTAAAATTAAATGGAAACATGTAAATTGTTAAAAGCCTGAAGCTGTTTAACATAAATATTTGAAATTTTCTCTTGTAATCTGCAGTCATTTTAGAAAGAAAATGTGCTATTTTGATTCATTTAATATTTAAGTATGGTAGATACGAGGTCAGTCAAATCGACTAAGTCCGTATAGTGTTAGGGTAGATAAAATATGGTTTTATTGATAAAAAACAAAATCTTAATATTCATTTAGGTGGTTTTAGAGGTCATGAAAATAAAATGGGAAAACTGTAAGATGAAAAAAGTATTTTTATTCTAAACAAGAAAATCACCTTACACTCAGACTAGTCAAAGTCCGAGTCATATGGACTAAATTAAATTTTCAGTAGAAATACTTTAATAAAGATTCTGATTTTTTGTGTACAACATACTTATGTTTACTAAAATTTTTCAAATCTTGAGAAGATACACCAAGTAAATTTGAAACTGTAGTAAACATTAATTCTCTAACATGGGCTCAGTCCAATGGACTTACCCCAGGCATGTAGGGTTAAAGTTTAAACATGTTAGTGTTCCTTATTAATAATTAATGTACTATTAAGGAAAATCAACTATTAGGATAAACTATGAACAAATCAATCAGATCTTAAACTTCCAAACTAAAATTTGTATAATTCTAAATGTATATTTTTAGTTTGAACTTTGAAAAATTTACCATAAAATGTTCATTAAAAAGAGCAATTTTAAAGATGTATAGAAAAGCCATGAAAATACAGTATGCCACTGGTAAACTCTCTGTATAGTCTGTTTCTACTTCTGCTGTTACATTTCCAAGACTCTTCTTCAAAAAAAACTTCTTGTGTTACCAATGTTTTTTTGTTGATATTTTAACAACTTCTAAAATAAACTTCTGTTGTTGTGTTTTGGGAAAAAATTATCTTCTTTGCTTTTAGTTTTTTAATCACATTTATTTAAAATAATGAAACTTGCATCAGGAAAACCAGTTTTTGTTACCTCACTTATTTTGCATGGCCAAATTCATCAGAAAACAAATAACAGTAAACCTTGTAATTTCATATATTATGTTCTAATTAACTGTGTTTATCTAATACAAAAAGGGATGCTTACTTGTATCAACCACTTCATGAGTGATTAAAGTAGTGCATTAGTTTATGAATATAGATAATTTCAAGTCCATTCTAATATGTTTATTTATTCCTTCAATGGCTGATCAGAGCATTAAACATTTTTTAAAGTACTGGAGTAACAGAATATAATGCTTTCATTTGGTAGTTTTTACTATTCATTACCTAGAAAAAAAAAGCAAAATATTTGGCAGTTAATTTTAATATGAAATTTATAATTTTACAATAATTACTTTTTTACAGTTGAATTGTATGGTAATACATATAAGTCATTTTATAAAGATAACATAAACAAATCTATAAAAACAGTTGTTTGCTAGTTGAAAATGTACTAATTGTGTTTATGTCAAACTTGTAAACATAGTACTCCCAACCTCATTTATGGTGTCAGTGTGTGTTTGAAACAGCTAACAAAATTAACTTCATAGTTATTAACTTTTTCTTTTCTTATTGTAATTTGCATTCAGATGAAAAGAAAACAACAGTGAATGATTTGGCTAACCAGAAAGGAGTGCTACAGAAGTCCAATGGATGGAAATTTTATCACTTATCAGCACAGCTTGAAGAAGTGGTGAGTGACTGTAATTATAATGGCAGCTTTTTGTATATCAAGTAGAGAACTTATTGTTACCAAAAATCTCAAATTACTCTCCAAGTACATCCTATCTGGATAAAACTGTCTTAGGTGAGCTCATCTTAAGCCAGGGAAATGGGCATGGGAAAATGAGTATGTATTATTGTGTATATTAAAGGTTTTTGTGTTTTCTCTTTATAGTTACATTATCTCATTAGTTGTTTTCCTGTGATCAGGTTTGAGAGCCTAATTAAGTGGTGTCATGTTGTGTTAAAATAACATTTGTTGTGTGACATGGCTCACTGACTCGCATTAAGGTTAGAAGAAGCACCCCATGTCATACAAGCATGTTGAACCTCAAGAAGAGACTTTCCTGAACAAACCTGAAAGGTGAAATATCCTGTTAAAATTGCTCATCTTTTTCTATGTAGAACTGAATGTAATCGGCTTGTTAGTCTCATAGAATATTCATAAATACATATATATAGCTGACACTATTTTTCTGTGTATGTGTAGTAGTAAGATTGATTATTAAGATATAATTAAAACCATTATTATACATTAGCATTCAAGTCCTCTTTGTTTATATTTGCAAGGGTAGTTTTTATATATTCTGTGCCTAACTTTTTTGTAGTACTATTAAAATTCAAGTTAAAAATAGTTCAGTAAACAAATAAAGTTCTTAGAATTGAAAGGTATTTCAAGATTATAACCTTCAATTTACATTCGTTTTTTTTTGGTACTAGTGCCATGTTATAGACATGTTTGCTTTCCTGAAATGTATTTTACAAGTATTTACATGACGGTGTCATTTTATAATTAGTAAGTCAAGTATATGTGGAAAGTTATCCAAATATGTGAATTAAATTAGTAAAGCTAAGTCTCATTCAGAATTAACTATCCTTGACAAAAAATAGTTTTATTTAAAACCAAGATTTTAAGGCAATAATTGTAAAAAATATTAGTATTTTAATACAAAAGTACATGAACACACATCTCACAACCATTTGAGCAAGATTTTCAATGTTTATTTGTCCAGATAATCATTAAAATGTCTATCCTCCTTGTAAAGAGTGGAAGAAAATAAAATATTTATTAGCATTTTTTTTTATATGTACTGATTTTAGTCCAGTGAACAGTTTGTTTACTTTCAGCTGTGGAACCATTATGGTGTGAGAGTCAGTCCCACTATTCATTGGTAAAAAGTAGCCCAAAGTTGATGCCTTCCTTTTACTACGTGGGTTCAGAATTAGGGACAGATATGCACAGATAGCTCTTGTGTATCTTAAAAGGTCTTAAAGGACAAGAGACAATTTGTAACATGTGAGACAAATATTGAAGATAAAAGGACAGCTAGATCTATTCAGTGAAACATCTTGCATAGTAGAACTCACATAACTCTTATTTAAATTGTTTACCTGACATGATGCGCTGCTAGTTTCTGTTGCAAGGATATTCACAGAAAGTGTTTTGGAATGAATGTTTTACATAGTTGCTTTAAAAAATATTGCAATTTGAAATTCAAGCCAGACAATATGTAAGGAAGATATAAATTTCCTTTTCACAAGAACAGATATTTTAAGTAGCCTCAAGTTTCTTAGTAGAACAAAAAAAAAGTAAGTACTAGAGAAGAACAGTTTTTTAGCTATAATGTCAGAAAAAAAAGATCAGTAACTGAGTGCGAGAATAGCTTTGGAAAGTATATCATTGTTTTTTTAGGAAGAAGGGTTACAGTGAAAACACTTTAAAACTACTTAGTTTCTTATATTTTACTTTTAATTTAGATGTATATTTATAATACCTTTAGGTGGAGCTAGAAGTATCTGTCTACTCAAGGATATCAAAAGTTTTGGAGCTCTTAGAAAATGACCCCCCAGCCCTTAAGTGTAAGCCATTGAGTTCGGACGAAGACAGAGTAATGAATAAAATCAATGATCTGATCAAAGTGAGTTTCAAGTAAAGTGTAATGTTTCAATATCTGATATACTCTGATCAGATATTTTACTTGTATACAATCATAAAGTAGGCTAATTTACATGCCCATCTTTCTGTCTGTGAATGATAAATAGATAACTAAAATGGAAAAGTTGGGAAAAATTAAGTGTTAAGTAAGTATTAAGTGAAAGTTTATCTAGGGCAAAGACCATGATTATTTTGAAAGTCAAAATTTTTATATCAAGTTCATTTATTTAATTGGTTTTAAAAAAGCATGGTCGTAATGAAGGTCATTCCTTTTCAGCAAATTTTAAAATGTATTGAATGGCTCTAAACGTATTCTAGTGGATTAAATAAAGTATGTATTAATTAAAGAAGTAGTTGATAACTTTTGAATATGCTAAAATGTGGAGGTACATTTTACTCCCCTTCCAATGTAGGTAATGTTTTTTCCCATTTTATATGTGTGTGTAAATATTCAACTTCTTTCATTGTATTTTTAGATTAAAATGAAGATATCTGTTTCACTCTCACCTCTCGTAGCTTATTTACTGGTTTTTGTTGTTTTTTTACTTTTGTGATTACATCTTAATCATATGGTTAATTAAAAATTACTTTCTCCATTACGTAGTTGTATATATTAGTTTTATATGTACTGTGTCAAATATGCATATAAATTTTTTTTCTGTTTTCAAGTTCAAAATTTCTGGTGCTTAATTTAATTACCCCCAAAAAAAATATTGTTCTATACTTTGCTCTCAATTAGAGACAGTATACACTTTTTAAAATAATTACAACAATTATGTCAGGCTTACACTCAGATTCACTTTGAAAACCTAACATTTAGTCAGTTAAACACAGAGTGTATATGGTATCATAAAAGGCTGAAAAGAAACAAAAAATATTAAAGTGTACTATAATTTCAATATGATTTTAACTTTTAAGTTACCTTCTTGTTTTTGTGTTGGTCAAATATCACCGGTCAGTCAGGCATTACCCAAGATTTGGTTGTGAAACAAAAATACAATTCACTATCTACATATTGCATCACATTAGGTAGTTTTATGTTTGTGTCTGTTACAAACACTGACCATGAAATACTGGATGTAATCACTCATATTGTATGTAAAATACTAATGGGACCCTGCATTGATTAGTGAAATAAATTGTAACATTGATTGCATTTTGGTTTAAACTGTTTTATATGGCTTGCATGTTATTAGAGCTATAAGCTACAAATTCATGGACTTAAAAGGGATGTGGTATGTAAATAGTTTAGAAAAATGTGTTTCAAAAGCCAAAAGAGATCCATACAGATTCCTTTGGTGTTATATTGAGGTTAAGGAATGCCTCTTGTCTTAGCATGAATATTGGTTAGTGCTATAAATTATATTATTAATATTAAAGGCTTAAATGTTCATTAGTCAAAACTAGTTACATTTGCAAGATGCAAAATTAAATTTGCTATAAAAGAGCACTAAATAAGTAAAATAGAATTTAGTATTAAAAGATAATAAGATAAAAATAGAAAAAACTTTAAATAAATAGAACAGAAAATATCCCAGGCTTGGTTGATTTGAATGACCATGTGACCTCTTTGTCCTTGTTCAAAGTCTTTATAGATTGATACTACTAACTTAATATAGTGTGTATATCTTCATGAAATTTGGCAGTCTTTCAGTAAACATTAAGAGTATTTCACATACAAAAAATCATATTTTTAGTGAAATGTTTGTAATAAACTAAAAAAAAATTTTCTTCAATATATCGAGTATTTGTTTTGAATAGTCTGTGTGCAAAGTGATTTTCATGTTCAGATTAAAAATACTTTTCTTCATCTCAAAAATCTCAAATTTCATTTTTGTGTAATATCTAAAACCTCCTAAATATATTTCAAATGTTTGTTTTCAGGAAAACTTTATATTTTATCTGTTATTTTCTCTATCCTAACTCTATATGTGGTTGGTCAATTTGACTGACCTCGTAATCCACCAAAAAAAATCCTATATCAATCTAAATTACCCTTTTTCTTTTTAGAATGACTTCAAATGTAACATAAAACTACATTCGTTTATCCTAAGTAGCTTTAAACTCGTAACAGTGTGCATTTATGTATATAATTAAATTTTATTGCTTTTTGAATCGTGTCTAACTACTATTCACGCCATTGTAATTTGTAATTCACTTGGAGAACATACAGCTCTTGTTATGCTATTGAATTATCTTACCCTCGAGCTACTCTGAACTGCACTGTGCATGCCTCATAAAATATTTTTATTATATTATATTACATTACCCGAGTATTCTTTTTTTTTTTGCTGTCTATTATTGATGTCACATAACCCTACTTTTTTATACTAATGATAGTAGTGCATTAAATAATTTTCATTTAATTAAATAATGCACCAAAGAATAATAACATGCAAAAAGCAGCCAATTTCCTCTAACAACCAAAATTTTTCTGGCTTTCTAACTATGCGACAAGAGCCATTACAAATTAATCTAAGCTAGCAGTTGTGATTTTCGTGAGAAACAAAGTTGTATTATAAGTGAAATTGAAGATTATCTGTTCAGAACACAACGTAATATAATACGTCATATGATAGATGAAAACCTTGGCTTTCTATTGATTAGAAGTAATATATAATTAAACGGAAGAGAGAATTGTTAACAAATCTTTAAAGAGAAGGTGTGTCAGGAGGTGTCTGATTTCCTATTTGATAGCTCTGTAACCAAACAGAATTGAAGGCTATAAAAATTATGGTTTGTCTGAGCAATGATAGTTTTATAATAAGTAATTTATGTTTAATTTCATATTTGATGGAGGGTTGGTGGATAAAATAGATAAGATACCTAGAGAAAATGTCATGTGCATCACACTAGGGGAAATTCAGGATTTTTTTAAATACTGCCATATAGAATTAAGAATTTAAAACTTATATACTATTAAAATATGGATTATTAGCTACGATTTTATGCTATAGTAATTGGTATAACATAAACAAAAAGTAGTTTAATAAAATTTTGAATGCAAAACACAAAAACCTTGTGTCATTCTCAGTAAAGGATACCCGTGGCAATAGGGTTAAACACACATGAAAAAAAAAGATGGGTTGATCTGTGTTACAAGTGTAGTAATTCAAGGATACTTAACTCACAATTACCTAATTGCTGCAACAGTTATAGGTTTGGAGATCTAATATGTGAAAGGGCGGGTATATTGATTTGTTTCAGATTGAAAGAAAGAGACAAGACACTGTATGAAATTAAAATGAAACTAGATTTATTCTTGGAAAAGTGAAGATAAAAGCAGATCACCTATTGTAAGAATTATTGCAGGATACTGAAGTTAAGTTGTAAATTAATTAAAGGAAGGTAAACTTTATTTAAATAAAAGTGGTGGATAACAGAAAACTGTGTTTAATTAAAGATAAAAAGTTCAAATAGATTTCTAGAACTGATGTTCAGCCTTAAATGATTAGCAGATGATAAAAGAAACAATTAAATAGAAATGGAATTTCACTGGGGAGCCATGTACCTCTCAAATCAGAAACAAATGTTTGAGAATGCCAAACCTGCATTCACAAGTCACCTCCTCCATTTAGCTAGCCAATCAAAAAATTGGATCACAATAATTTTGAAATAACTGTCTGCCCCGTGTGACAGTCATAAAGGATACACAAGATATAATAAGCTGAATTTAGTAAATTAGCTTGACTCAATTTGAATTTTTCAATTTAGAACTGAGAAAAAGGTTAAAAAGTTGTAAAAAAAAAAGTGTATGAATAGAAAAGTGAGAAGCATTGGTATGTGCATAACACACATGTCATACCACCTATATATATATATATACGTATACTCAGAGACCCTATTATCAATGAGTTTAGACTCCATATCTTTCAAAAAGTGTATTAAATCTTAATTGAATGTATTGGATAAGGAATGTTTACTGTAGTTCTAAATTTACTATGTACATCTAGAAAGAAAGAAAGTGGCAAGTTTTTAGGAAAATGTCTGTGAATTGATGACTTCAGTCTGACTTGGACTCTAACATGCAAGGTAATGTTCGGGTAAAGAATAAAAATATTTTTGTCAATTGTACAATTTGCATATTGCATTTGTTTAACCTCTAGAACCTCTGAAATGCATATCTATGGTTTTTTCAGTATCTCTATATACTATATTTGGTATTTACTCTCTTATACCATGAACTGTTGCTAAATCAGCAAGGTGTGGTATAATGACTAATTGAAAACTCTGACATTAAATACATAATGCCATGTTCAATGGCACTCTCTAAAACACTGTGACATGCACCATTGATCCCCATCCTTGAACATTGGGTTAAAAAGATAGAATGGTTGATAAATTAACACTAAAATGCCAGCGTTAAATTTTGAGTCTTTAACACCAACTGGTATGGGGTCCCCATGCTGGCATTCTAGGGTTAAGCCTATCTGGATAGTTGCTTTGTAGCAACTTTCAAAATGTAAGTAAAAAATATAATTTTAACACTATTTCTACAATTTTTACTCTTAAAATATTTTATAATTGATATTTTGTCATTTTGTAATATCTGTTTAATGTAGTCCAAAAAGAAAATTTTTAGAAATGTTCCAACTTTTATTTATGTACAACTCCTAGAAGTCTCTTGGGTTGTAAACATGTACTTATCAATTTTTTAATACTTTTTCTTCCTCCCCTGAAGCATAGGCTTATATATGCTAAGACACTATTATCCTTTGAGAATATAATTATTCAAGTCTTGTTTCTCACATGATTTTCATTCTAAGTTTGTGGCTTTTATTACTACATTACTTTAACTTTAAATAAGATTGGACAGAGCAGATGATAAACTATTTATGTCAATGTAGAGTAAATAATGTGATGTGAGCAGCAAGTTATGGTTTCTTGGGAAAGTGACCACTCAGAACTTCTGTAGAGATGAACAAAGGAATGGGAAGTTTAGAATACTTAGGAAACAACCACGGATCTGAGAATTTATTAGTGCCTTGTAGATATTCTTTTTTCCTGAAAATGTTTTGGTATCAAGTTATATCTACTTGAAAGGTATGGAAGTTTTCTTGTATAACAAGACATCAGGTAAGTTTAGTTAAGTGTAATGAGTAGGGGAGGTGAGAGCAAAATATACCAGTGATTCAAGTCCTTATTTATTTAATATTATTAACTTTATTGTATTCAAACAATGTACGTAAGGTAACTAACTTACTAATTTTGAAAATAAATTGTATGTATCCCCCATACCTCTGAGCTTTTTTTTTTATGATTGTTTGATTCTTTCAGCTTTCTGAAAGAACCTTATTTTAGAGTTGTATTTTTCTAGCATTTCAAAAAATGAAAGTAGGAGGCTTTTTTGTGGAGATTTAAAGCTTTTGAAAAATAGGAGATTTAAACTCGTTGAAGAGAATCTACGAATAAATGTGTTTGGCTTTAACTTAAATTATATATATATATGTATATATATATATTTAAAATAATTTGTCGTTTTAGGGAAATCTACAGAGAAGCAAGCTGTTGCAAGATCAAATGACAGAAGCAAAGCAACAGATGTTAAAAATTTTGGAGCATAAACCGAGCATTGTAGAGATAATCAACAAATATGCCAGCAAAAGACCACTAAAGAAAAAAGAGAAAAGCTAGTTTTTGTAGCAACATTTGTCACAGAATCTGACTGATTAAATTTTATGTCAGTAAAGTATTGAAGAAAGAAATTTTATCAGTATAGTACCTGTTAATGTTATTTGTAAAGACATAAATGTTCATAATCAAGTAAGCACAACTATGTGGACTCTGTACATAGAATTTTTAAATTACATAATGTAATTTTTAATATGGACCAACTCTTTGGACATTTGGAGCAACTATGATATGCCATTTTTTAACAAACATCAAGAGATATAATGATAAATAAACCTTTGGATATCATATAATGTTTATGCTTGTGTAAGCTTAGTTTTACCTTAAATATGACTTGCATCTCTAATTTTTTTGGCATTTTTTAATTGTAATATTATTTGTACATTTTATGGTTTCTTTAAGTTGTATTTTGACTAATTGAATATAAAATTTCTAAAACTTATTTGCAACGGTTAATCTGTGCTGATCTAATGTTATAAATTTAGACTTGCTGTTATTTTTAGTATATGAATATTCTTTTAGTCTTAGTTATTACAAGATAAAATTCTACAGTCAGTTTTAAAGAATTTTATGCTAACCAACAAAAGTGAGACCATGTACTTGTCGCTCCTTAAAACAAAATTTTTGGATACTAAGATCAGTCATGATGTTGTTTGTATAGCAGTTTGAATATATTCTGTATCTAAACTTTCCAAAATCTTGTCAGTCAAAATTTGACATCAATTAACATGAAATAAGAGGTTTAAAAATTTATTCCCTCCTTTTTTCAAACAGTTTCTTCTTCTAAGGTAAATTGAGAAGTAAGAACTTTTAAATATTTGTAATTGTTATGAAAAAGAAATGATTGAAGTAATTAATTGTCTTAAGAAATTGGAAATATTTTGAGACAAAAATTCTGTAAATATATATATATATATAAAGTGGCCATTTAGATAAGTTCTGTTAATACATTTATTAACTACTTTTTTATTGCTCCTCTTCCCTAAAAACTGTTCACTACAGTTATCCTGTTTTAAGGGTGATTATTTTCTACTATATTATATTACTTTATATGCAAAAAATCCTCCATCAGTGTTTGTTGTGGTCCTGAAAGCACCAATTCTTGAAGCTCCTCAATTTATTATAACAAGACATCTGGTCACTGTAAATATCACTACTGATATGTGGTCATCTGTTGTTCCATTGTGCAGGCATTACTGTTACATAGTCTTTGAAACATCGTGAATCATGTTCACCTCACTTTGTATGAAGAAATGTTATGATGGCCATCATTTATGCATAGTTTTTATTCCTCTGTACATTGAAGTCCGCATGGACATTCTGTAATGTAGAATTTTTTCTGTGTGGTGTTTTTCTCCTGTGCCACTTTTTGTTTGCAACATCAACCACCTTGATCATGTGTCATCCAGGTGAAGTTTTATCTTAATAAATGGTCTGATATCTGGTGATTGTTGTGTAATAAGAGTTCATATATCTGTTATAGACAGTATCCTTTTTTTTAACATTTTTGTATGCATATTGTGATATCAAATATTAAATATGCACCTGTTCATGCAATAGCTATGGCAGTTTTTCCACCTTTTTTTTTCATCACTTCTATGGACATATTTACTCTCCCCCAATATGTATGTATGCCAAAGATTGTCATAAAGCTTAGGCACTAAATAGCATTAAAATCTCATAAACATGTAATTTTACAATGAATGGTAATTCTTGATATGCAAAGTTTTTATGCATATGAATTTTCCATGTTTTTTAACACATTTCTTTAAGTTTCATAGTGAAGAGAAGATATGTTTTTGAATGAGTCAGACAACTTTTATCTGTGACTTTTGAAAAGTATTAGAGCATTGTATTATGGTAGTCCAAGGTTACAGCTTCAATATTACATTGAACATGCCTTGCACTTTTATCTGTGGAGGAATTAAAAATGTAACAGCAAATCTTATAATTCAGTTAAAAGAAGCCAGGTAGGTAACAAATACTGCTGACTAGTCCAAAGTTACAGCTACAATATTACATTGAACATGCTTTGCACTTTTATCTGTGGAGGAATTAAAAATGTAACAGCAAATCTTATAATTCAGTTAAAAGAAGCCAGGTAGGTAACAAATACTGCTGACAACACCTGCACTGGGGTATATGACTTGGTTGTTTAGCTTGTTTGTGGTATATGGTGCCATTTATGTTGAAGGTAACAAATAGCTAATGTTTGTGAATTCCTACACTTCAGTTCCTGAGCTGATAGTATGTGTTGAAAATTAAGATGAACAACCATATGCTCATACTGTCACTCTTTCCTTCTCACTTCACTGATTTTTACTTGTGAGTTTGAGCTGATGTTTGAGAATTGCTAATTGGCCTAACATGTTATCAGAATATGATGGTACATTTTTTTCTTTTCATTTAACTTTAGCCCCCCACTGGCACAGTGGTATGTCTGCGGATTTACAATGCTAGAAACCGGGTTTCAATACCAGTGGTGGGCAGAGCACAGATAGCCCATTGTGTAGCTTTGTGCTTAATTACAAACAAACAATCATTTAACTTTAACATGCCTAGAGAGAACAAAGTGATTTTAAATAAGTATAAAAAAAGCGTGGAACTTACCATTCATGCACATTTTAATTCGTAAGTAATTCTTGCTCCAAAAGTGATAATCTCGTAATTTTCTGTCTTCTTATTAAACATACAATTAATAAACTAATACCAACTGCTGTACTGTAGGGTATTCTTGCTGTGTAAGATTCACTATTGTGGTTGTTGGTTTGTTTCCATAAGCTGTTTCATTATATTTCTCAGCACACTTCACATGATACTCTTGAGCATTACACTAAAGTCACTGTATCATAATTTCATTGTTGTTGTGACTTACTTTCTTATTAATATTGCCAGAAAATCCTGTAAACCACCAAAATGAAATAATCCTATAGCATGGTAACAAGTACTATCAGGATGGAATTTGTAAATTGTACTTGCATGAATTACATTTTCACAGGGTGTTTCCTATCACAAGTGACAGTAGCTCTGATCTCATGAAAACGTCATGATTGGAACAATGTGATGTATCAGATTCTAGTTTTCATTCTTGTAAAATTAACAGGAAAAAATAGTACATTAACATTTGGAACTTTGTAACCTAAATGTTACGTCATAAAATCAAAATTTAATTGGTATTACAGTTGTCATCCATTCTGAATTAGTTGGACCTTATATATAAAATCTTAATATTTGTAGCGAGCTGGTCTGGCTGAAAAAGTCCTGATATTAAAGTCTGCTTTGACTCTGAAAGAAGAGCAGTGATGCCAGTGAGTTATTATCTTCGATATAGCATGCCCGGTAAAAGAATATTCTGAAGGTGGCCAAAAACACAAATAGAAGTTTGTACATTACTAAATAAACAAAGACTGAATGGCAAAAAAACTTAGACAAGCATCCATAAGGAAAGTATCTGTGTTCATTAATTTAAATACTTGGATTGTTATACATTGCACTTTTACAATAAATAAATCAATTTTCAAGATTTGTTGGAGCAATATACTTTAAGTGTGTTATTGAAAGGCACACTCAATATGTGGTTTTACTCTCTCTTCTTTATTGTAGCCCAACCTCATCTGTATGAAAGATGGGTGTTGCTGAAATTTGATAAATTTAAGTCAAACTACCTATGAAAAGTATTGCATTTGTTCTGAATCATTCAAGTATTAGATAGTTCAGCTTAGTAACAGGAAATTGCAAAGTAACCTGAATTTGGAAACCGACTAAATTTTAAAGCTGCAGGGAAAATATGGAGACCGTACATGTGATTTGAAGTGAAACATTATTTATTACAAAGCAATAAAACTGTTACTTGTGTAGACACTTGCACAATTGCCTTAACTGAATCGATGAATTAGATCATCGAGTTTTCTCCCTTGAGACAAATATCTGGAGAATTATCCATGTTGAAACCTTACAGAACTCTAGAATTAAGACTGTACTGAGTAAGGAAACCTCGGTTCATTTCTTTGTGATAATGTCACTATGTCATTCTCTCACAGCAGTTACTAGCCGAAACATACAGAGTTATCAATTCAGTCAGTGAAAGGACATTGTAGTTGTTGACCCCTTTCTACATTAGATTGTGAAGTTACTGCAACATCCTCTTGGGCAGAATATATACTCTCTACTATCAAGAACAACAAAGGAAACTAATACAAAACTATTTCAATGGTTTTCTGGACCACATGTTTATGGGAAAAATGCATAGAGTAAATAAAAAAAAATTTTAATTCTTTACTACTAAAAGGTTGGAAAACACCATATACCTACATATCACACTTTCCCCTTCATTTCCCTTTCAGGCTTGTCTTCAAGGCTACAATTAATATTTAACTTAAACCCAGTCAACTTTAAATTATGACAGTCAAAAAATCACTGAATTTCCTTTGTTCCTACAAACAATTACATGCCACATGAACGACACAACCCTTTAACAAAGAACTACACCCAAATACAAAGCAAATAACCGTTTGACTTAAGACTTTACAATGCATAAAATCAAGACCCTTTAAATTTAAACTGTATAGTATCACATCACACACTACCATAAAAGAAAATCTTTAATAATTCAGTAATGGAAAAATGAAATACGTTTAATTAATAAATTTTCTAGATATACACACAAAACTATATAATGAAAAAAAAGGCCCTTTATAAGGATTAAATGGTATATATATTCAAAGATGAAATATTGAAATGATTAAAGAATACATATACACATGAAACATTTAATAATGACAATTACATAGTACAAAACAAAGCAAAAGAACATCTTTTATTTAATCCTTTTACACAGATATATAATATTACTCAGTAACAATACACAAACACACACACACAGACAAAAATATACCCCTTAATGATTAAAATTACATGTCAAAAGAACAGGTGACCTACTCCTATTAGAAGGGGGTAGTCTAACAGGCTGTACAAAGAATAAAAAAACTTCAACAAAGATCACCTGCCTCCTTTAGGAAGGCTCAGTCTAACAAACTTTCCTTGAAAATTAAAACCGTTTTTAACAACAAACGTTATAATAAAACCCTTCAAGCATAAAGCAAATTCTGAAAAACTACATTACATATTAGTTATATAAGATGAAGGAAAACTAACTTTCATGTCAATAAAATGTTGTATAAATCCTTTATACATAAAATAAATTATAAAAAATACAAACAAAAACTAGCCACATCTTGCTCTATGCAAGTAGGTGGGTGTAAGTCATCTGTATAAAATGCAAATAAAAAGGACAAGACATACAAATAAAATGCATTTATATACACAAAAAAGTAATACATGATCTTTGCTGCATACATGAAAGGGCAGTTCCTTACAAACGTTTATATATATATATATATATATGTGTGTGTGTAAGGTTCATACACAAAATTACAGAGTACCTAAAAAAAGTGATTAGGCTCCTGTCTTCAAAACACACACATGTATGTTAAAGAAAGAGGACTCTGTTAAATTTTAAAAAATATACAAAAAAAACATTAAGGATCTATCTCCCACACACACAAGTGTGTGTGTAAAAGACAGAGTATTAATCCACACCAAAAAAGAAAACAGCAGTGTACAACTTGTTTATGACAAGTTAACTTTTCTTAAAATACAAACCTTGAAGGTTGATATTTTGCTACTTAAATTCACTGGCAGATTCTCCAGAGCTGAGTCACTTTTGCTTAGGTTTTCACATGGTCCCTCTTGGTGGTAACTAGCCTGGCACCTAGGCATTGCACCTCCTCCTTTAGCATGCTGAAGGTATTGGCCTCTGCTTCAGATGATCTTCTGGTTGTATAGGGTCCAAGCTTCTGTTCACTCGGTAGCTATTTTCTTACTGTGTTTTTTTAATTCTCGAATCTGATCAAGCATAAACCAGTTCATAATCATCTTTTATGATTTAGTAGGAAGCTCCACCCTTGGTATGCTCATGAGGTCTTTTGTTTGGTGAAGCCTCTACTACTACTACTACCTCATAGGTGATTCTTGTCCTAGGGGTAATCAGTCTTACCTGCAATATTGGTGTTCTTTTGTTGACTGTGAAGACCATGGAAATGGTCTTTGAGCCTGCTGGCTTGTCTGCATTGCCCTCCCCTCCAGTGGTGAATCTGAAGGCCTACGACGCTAAAAACTGGGTTTCAATATAGATAGCCCATTGTGTAGCTTTGTGTTTAACAACATCTAAAGTGATCATAACCACAGTAGGCATGTCAGACTGAATGGTTGTCACTTCTTTGGTGACTGGTGTCTTCTAGAGGCCTGTCCTACCCCTTCCTTCCCAAGACTTAGTCAATCCTCAAGCAGTTCCAAGCTATGGAAAGTTTTTCTTTGGATTTGGGAAATGTCCCATCAGAGGTGTGAACATATCTGCTGCCATCACTGGATCATGATGGTGCATCCTCCAATGAAACATATTATGGATTTTCTCTGGTTTCAACTCCTCCTTAAGTAAGGACAACAAAGACAACTTTGAATGTAATTGGTTTGGCTCCACTAGTATGGATAGGGTTGTTGC